CATTCCTGCTCTTCAGCAAGAATGTCATGGTGGGTGATCATTGCTCAATGCTCATGGTTTTGAATTCACATTCGATTTCAAATAATGGGTCATGGGCTGTATGAACTATGCTTGATGACATGTTGAACCTGCCATAATTGATTTGGAAATTATGTCAACTTCACCATAATTGATTTGGAAATTATGCCTGAGCATCAGTTGTGTTTTTCTGTTTTTGGGAGATAATAAGCCTGGTTTAATACTTTAATTACTGTGCGATGTTACAGATGCATTCCGTTTAGATATAGAAATCCCGACCATGGTGATTCTGATTCCAAGAAAATCATTGAAGTGTTGATGATCAGTTCACCTAGCGGACCTGGTCTTTTGTTTCCCAAGGTATGACGCATTCTTTTGCCGAGAATCATAAAGATCTAACCATTTCCACCTTCCACTCCCGTTCCATAAAGTAACATAACCAAACCCCGGATGCTTATAGGGAGGTTGGGAGAATGACGAAACAGTGGAGGAGGCCGCAGCCAGGGAAGCTGTGGAAGAAGCTGGAGTTCGTGGGATTCTAATGGTGAAACTCTTTTCCACACCCATCTCTTGATTCTCTTTCCAATCATTTGGTTGCCTTTGGAATTTATGCCATTAACTGTACGGAAATGTTTCAGGATTTCTTGGGAGATTATCAGTTCAAGAGCAAGACTCACCAAGATGAATTCAGCCCAGAAGGTCTGTGTAAAGCGGCGATGTACGCGTTGTACGTGAAGGAAGAGCTGGGGTCATGGCCCGAACAGGACACGAGAACTCGGGCATGGCTGACGATACCTGAAGCAGTAGAGAGTTGCCGACATGCGTGGATGAAGTATTCTTTGGAAGAAGGCTTCTGTAAATGGCTTCAGCAGAAGATTGCCAAAGGAGAGGACTTCGCTGATGAAGATTGAACTCAAGTGTGCATAAACTCAAAGATCAAATAAAAAAAAGTTAAAAAGAAAAGGAAAGATAAAAAAGAATTGCAGAAATTTCAAGTAGAGTAAACTGTATTTTTGTGTTCTTTCGAATTCATGCTTCCTTCATGGTTGGTTCCATTCTGTTTTTTTCCTCTTGGAATCTCCTAATTTGGAGAGAATATCATATGTGGATTGTTGGAGCATAGGAACTTTGCTGCCATGCTTTAGTCTTTTTTTTTTTGGTAATTACATTGCAAGTTGTTAAATGATCTTTCAAGAAAATGGCACAATTATCTAATAACCAAAGGATAAACTCAACAAATTTCGAATTTGTACACCTCTCTGAAATTAAGATACACAATAAAATGATCAACACATAATTTTACCAAGTCCATTCTGATTGCGACCATTACCTATCAATTCCCACAAAACTGCCTCTCTACCACTCTGGACAAATCCGATCCAAAATTTGCACCTCTAATATCTAAATTTTCAGCATTAAATGTTTTTCTTTAGAAAGAAAACCAGCAAGAAATGCAAAAGCTCAGGACATGCTTTAAAAAAAACAAGGGCACCAATAGACCAAACCCAAAAAATTAAAAAAAAAACAAAAACAAAAAGAAGAGAGAGAGAGAGAGAGAGAGAGAGAGAGAGGCCTAAAGCTATATATATGGTCTTTTTGGGGGTCATAGCCATTTGGTTTCTAGACAAGTGATACACAAATGGAATGCCCAAAAGTTTTTCCCCATCCCCCCTCTCTATAGTTTCAGTTTATTAACAACACATTAATAAATCACAAGTGAAATATAGATAGATAGATGGATGGATAGATAGATACCTGTGTCGGCACACAGTTAGATCCTCGTTTTCGTAGTTCAGAGAGTGCGTAAACTATTATTTAGCTCGAACCCGAGGAGTTGTCTAGAACTATATCAGCAGGATCACCAATCCATGGCCGTCCTTCCCTCCAATGAAATTTTATTCTCAATTTCCCATTTGCATCTACACCAACTACTTGTCCTTTACTCGCATGAGTCTCCATTCCCCAACCCCACCTTGGTGTCACCAGCCCGTCCTTGATCTTCACTCTATCTCCCATCCTAAATGGTCTCACCCGTTCCATTTCCCATTCTTTGCACTGCCACAGCCTGTCCAGGAAACAGAATGACACCCATAAGTCCCCGTTCTCCATTCTGTGAGCCACCCCTATGCTCGATGGAGTGACCTCTCCCCACTGGTACGTAGGCATTGAGACGGTCGGCTTAACCCTGACCCAGTCTCCAATCTGGAGGTCTTCTTCCTCTACACTTTCAACTTCCGATGGGTCGAGCATCCAAGTTTTAGTGCCGGCTGGCGTGTATATCCTTAGCTTTCCATCGGCGTCAATGGCTGATATTGTCCCAACACTTCCATGGCTATGACCTGACCAGCCAAATCTTGGCTGCTTCACTGCCAGTTTGACCTTCACTTTTTGTCCGACTCCAAGCTTGCTAGCTCTTTCTAGATGTAGAGAGGATCCCACCCATCTGTCCTGCTCGCCACAGAAGGCGACAAAGGTGGTTCCGTCCCACTCACCTCCTTCGTATCCTACTCCTTGTATGACGCCAACACTACCTGGTCCAATGGATTTCCAACTAGGAGCACTTGCTCTAAGCCGTACCCATTCTCCGGCTTCAAACATGGGCTCCAATTCCAAGTCTGCTGGATCTCCCTTCCAAAACCCAGGTAATCCGAAGAAAGCGACCTTTACCTCTCCATCAGCATGTACAGCGGTCACAATACCACGAGAATCAAGGCTAGTTCCTCTCCAGCCCCATCTTGGCTCTGTCAATCCATTCCTGAAACGCACATACTGCCCAACTTTAAGAGCCGGGATCTTCTCTACATCTGTATAATGAGTACTCCATCTTCCTTTACGAAAACAACAAGCCAGCTCCAAGTAACCGTTTTCTTGTATGCTATGGACAACAGCTATACTCTCTCTTCCTATGCTAAACCAGTCATAACTTGGTCTGTTACCCAGGCTCGGTTTTGACCGCACCCAATCACCAACTTCAAATCCTGAAAGCAGCTCTGCGTCTCCAGGAGAAATCTTCCACAAGGTCTGTCTACCTGTTACCCGAACCTACGAGAGAAAACTTTGTCCTCAATCACCACAACACGGTAAAGAGTTATGACACAAAACCCCAGATAACACAAGCAGTGGCAGCTGCTAATTGCCTGATTTCGACAAACCAAGTAATTCTATAATTTTAGAGTTGTTAACAGATATAGAAAATATTCAACAAAAGCAATCTGTAGTGAACAGGAATCCAATGGTTCAAGAACTAAGTTTGACACAAAAATTTGAGAATAAGGAAATTTTGCTGGAGAAAAGAATTACTCGGTTATAACCAACTTACATTGAGAGCCCCGTCCATGTCGATTCTTTTGATTTTTCCAACTGTTGCCGGAGTCTCATTTGACCAGCCAAGTCGCGGTTGTGTTATAGAAGGCATCACATGAATCTCTTGCCCCACTTGAAAAGGTGCCACCTTTTCAACATCTGTCATGGAGCAAGAGAAAGGCTTGCTTCTAAAACAGAAAGCTATCCCCACATCACCATCTTCTTCTAAGCTATGAATCACACCGATACTGTTTCGAGTTACATCTTCCCATCCATATTTTGGGGAAGATACTGAAGCCTTCACTCTAATCCAGTCACCAACCTGTTCTTTGTACAAAAATTCAGTCTCATAAGAATCAATAGCTTAAACAACTGATCTATTCATCTGACATGCAAGTAAGAAAGACGATCAATTTTCTCACCCCTTTTGACTTCAGGAGATAACCATGTCTTACCTTGAAATCATCAACTTTTTCCATGTCAGAAGGATCAGCTTGCCATGGTATAGGCCGATTTGGTATTTCAATTATAAGGAGACCATCATTCTCTATTTCACTAATTTGGCCAACACTGTGATGGGTCTCACCGCCCCAAGCATATCTAGGTTCTGCAACAGATCGCTTCACACACACTCGGTCACCAATCTACAACAGCAAGAAAATTATTAGATTGGACTTCTCTCATGAAAGATATATTGCTGTAACAAATTCTTCGATAGAATGTAACCTTGAAGGGAGGAACAGGTTCAACTTCCTCAGGTTCACAATGCCAGGGATTTGGAAGATAGCTAAACTCGACTAGGAGGCTGCTATCTGGTCTTATACAATAAACTATTCCGACACTCCCAGGTACAACAGATCCAAAACCATGCTTAGCTGAAGTCAGATTTGGACGAATACGGACCCAGTCCCCGACTTTGAACTCTTCCACCCTTTCCATTTCGGCAGGATCAGCCTTCCACCCCCGAGATGCTCCAGGAAACCCAACTCTTAAGATACCATCCTCGTCAACACACAAAACAGTGCCCACACTGTCACGTGACTGGCCACGCCAACCAAACCTGGACAATTTTACCCCATATTGGGTTGCTACATAAGTAATGGGCAGCAATTTCAAGTGCACAGAAAAGCAGAAATCAAGTACTACAGTCAAAACAGCCAATAGAAATTTCAGAACATCCCACTAACCATAACCAGTTATACATCAAGCATTTCAGATTAGCCTCACTTGGTGTACTTGCATCAAAGCCTGTTCCTTTTTTTAACCTATTTTAACTGCTTCACCGTGATAATTCAATACATTTTTTTGTTCACATGACAATAAATAATTAACAAAACATCTCAAGACATCCAAGGTGTATTGCCTAGCAAAACTGCATATTAGACACAAAACCGCCACAAACCTTGGTTCATTGACATCTTCTTTGAGTCTCACATGCTGGCCTCGGTCAAGTGGAATCAATTTGACAACTTCTTTTGCAAAGACACGAGCCTCACCAGAACAAAATGAGACAATCATGTTGTCCCTGTCCAAGATAGTTTGCACAAACCCAACACTCTTAGGATTAGCACCTTGCCATCCATATGAAGGAGCGGTAATTCCTCTCTTGAACTTCACCCAATCCCCTACCTCATATCTGAATTTGAGATCAGGATAAAATGTTTTAAGTAAAACTCTGTAAAGACACATGCCTTTGCCAGTGAGAAGAAAAAAGGAACAGCAGAAATATTGAAATTCTTCTCACATTGTAGATGATAGATGGATTCCCCTATTTAAAAGTGCCTCCATCAAATCCTCGGAAATCCACTCTCTTGGAAGGGCTTCTAAGAAGTCACGCACTGTCTTGCCACTGAAATTCAACAATTATACAAATCATGTCATTCAAACAAAAGGACAATGGCATTCCTAAAAGAGAATGCATGAAGTGCACTTCTTCCGAATGGATTCAACAAAATCCTGGACACAAAACAATCTCATAAGAAAGCTGCTACAAATTACCAAACATTAACACAGTCGAGATAGTTTTACTGATAAGCAACTAAACTTTCTACTACTGAACTATAGAATAAAGTCAATTCATCCAAGTAGTTCTTGCCTGTGGTTTCTGATTTCAACAGCAGCATCTGGATTTCTAAGCATCACAATAAGCCAATCAAGGTTTTCACGAATCATCTTCGCTGCATCTGCTGCTATATGGAATGCATTGTCTCCTTCATCATCCTGGCGGTAATGAAACATAAGTTAAGTTTCTGGAAAGAAATATCACATAAAAAGGCCAGCTGCAGCTGCATGAAGACTGTCGTATTCTTTCAGCAATCTAAGCCAAGTTAGAAGGCTGCAAACTTTGTCTACCTAATTATTTCCTTAAATTTGTTTATCACTGTTTATGTATCTCACTGCTTGAAGAGGCATGAAAAAACCCTCATAGGTGCAACCATTTCGAGTAAATCTTAAGATATCCTGAACCTTTTTCCGGGTTTGGTTTTCTTGTGGATCAACACATGATAGATTTGACCTTTTTGAGTTTATGGGTTATGGTTTCCTGTAAATCCACTCTTGTGGTTATTTGAATTTTAAAACACAGCTTGAAATTGGAAAAATGGATGACAAATTGAAATTTGAAACAAATTCCTCCATATGCCTATAAATGTTGAAATTGTAAACTTTCAAAAACTTTATTCTCTTGTCTACAAGTAAACACTTATCATCATTATACAGCTACAAGACAGACCAAAAGAATCATTCAAGTCTTGAAGTATCAACAGATCAGAGTCTTGCATAGATTGACTATGGATTCAAGTGATAGCATAGGAACTGAGTAATTCTATGTTGTTAAGATAGCAATTCATGCATCCAAGGCAGGGGAAGATAGATTTGAAGGTATAAAGAAGAATCAAGCAAAATAACACACTGAGACCAGATAAGACTGCAACAATACCTGCAAATTACAGTCTGAACCAGCATCTAGAAGTAATCCAACACAAGAGCTCGCCCCTCTGGCCAATGCCATGTGAAGAGGTATCGTATTATGAACATTCCGGATGTTAACATCCACACCAGCATCAAGGATAACCTATAAAGGTAAGATAAGATAGATGATTTCAGGCGTTAGACAACCATAGAATTTTTTACTGAAAATGTAACCAGGGCTTAACATGGAAAAATTGGTATCTGTGTCACATCACATGTGAAGAATACAAGGTACAACTTTTTTATTATTCCCTCAGGAAATTCTACATTGTTTTCCAGTTCACAACATCAGTTATTTACTTCATTGATAGGCAAATGATCTCACCTTCACAAGTTCCATGTTGTTAGCCATAGCAGCACTATGCAAAGCTGTTCTTCCGTGCTGAGAATCTTGAGCAGTTGGATCTGCTCCAGCAGCCAACAATATCCGGACCAGATCTCTCCCTTCTACGGCATAACAGATAAATATAAATAGATTGATGAAATAAAATGGATAGACTTGATGTACAATAAACAACTTGTGTTTTGACGAGACACTAGAGCACAACTACAAAAGAATACAAAGATCATATTTGTTCTTTTTTATTGTAAAGATAAACATAAAGATAAGCAACTTTTGTTGTTACTTACGCAGAAGCCCACTGCACCAGAAGATGTATCACTCTGTTCTACAGAAACATGACCACAGACCAATAAATGAAAGAAAATATTTTCCTCCCACAGATACATGCAGATTAGTAAGGCACAACATCAAAACAACAGCCATATAATAAAAGGCTGATCCACAGAGTAGAGCACAGGAGTATGGTTCTGTTAGAGTACAGCACAGGAGTATGGTCTTAGAAGAGAAAACATAGATATTCTCATACAAATTGGACTTAATTTGTCAGTCTATAATTTCATCCTTACCTGTTTCATGATCTTTCTTCACAGCAGCTGCCATACACAGAGCAGTGCCAACTGGACTTGGAATATTAATTGCCTGAGCAATCTCATCTGGAGGGGCAACTTCTACCCATCTCTTGAGAACAGCAACATTCCATGTTGCTACACACATATGTAAAGGTCTGTGAAAGATGATAATATTTAGAGTTATGGAATAAACAACCAAGAAAAGTTTGGGGAAATGACACACAGCTAGACCGAAGCTTGGACATTTCATTTGGTGTTATTCTCCCTCCAGAGAAAAGGCCCATGGAAAAAACTTGGACAAAAATCACTCTCAATGAGTACAAAATTTATTAAAATGCTAAAAAAGAAAAAAAAAACATGGTCAGTTTTTTATATCAGAAGCAACTTGAAAAGACACCCAAGACAAATTGAATCACTATCAAATCTTATTATGGTGTTTCCCTAGTAGCTTACCAAAAATCAGATCTGTACTTACGTAAGAAATTTTGTGTTTGAAACAGCCATTGATCTAGAGCCTCCATTTTCCAATATCACAATCGCACAATCTGTGTATTTCTTGGCAATAGCTCGATGCAGTACAGTTTCACCTTCATCATCTACTGCATTTGGATCAGCTCCCGCAACGAGTAATTCCTATAAAATTGCCAATAACAAGGAAACAATAATAACAGGGAGCACCAGTATTTTACTGGCCACCATTACTATCTAGTTTAAAGTAGTGGATAAAATATGAATGTGGCATGACAGAACATAGTAACCGATAGTTTCCTTAGAGACTTACGCGCATACAATCAGGCTGACCATGGTATGCACACACATGAGCAACAGATGGGCCAGATCCTTCCCTCAATTTAGACCTAACATTAGCCCCCTTTTTTATGAGGGCGTGAACACATTGTGGAGATCCAGCTGCTAAAGCAAAGACAAGAGGAGGATCCCCGTCTTTGTCCAAAATATCCACATTTGCCTCGCTATACACCAATATAGCCTCTACAAGTTCAGCACTGCCACGTCTGCAAGCTAAGTGAAGAGCGGCCTGACCATCAGCATTCTGGGCCTCTAAAAGAAAGCGCACAGAGCTCCCACTGCCTCCTGCTGCAGCCTTTGCAAGTATGTTTCTGCTCCAAAGAAGAAAATTAATGAACCAAAATTTGCCGAGGAAAAGTCAGGTCTGATGGTTAGTCGAGGAAAAGGATATGTCCAAGCATTCCTAACCGATACCAAACCTTACACCACCAATATCTCCCTCTAAAACAAGCCGATGTAGGTTGCTTGGATTATCCAGAAAAACTGCCATGTTGTGCACAGGAGCAGCTTCCACTGTGTCTGATCTAGATGGTTTGGTGAACCCACTGCACCACACAAAAACTAATAAATAACACACACACACACATATATATATATATAAAGCAAAAGTAGATGTTCGAGTTAGCGTAAAAAAGAAAACAATTGGTTGTCTTTATTGAAAGGTAAGGAAACATATAAATGGAAAATTCATATACTTATAACTCTTACTTATCCGGGCTTGTAGATGGACTGCGAGGTATCTCTTGTAGATGCCGCAGGAATGTAGAAAGCATTGCATTAAAGGTTGGTCTTTTCGAAGGCTTAAACTGAAGACATTCACCAATCATCTTCCATAATTCCCTAGGAATTCCCACACCCACAATACTAGCATACTGAGGTGGCAATTTTCGGGATTTCACTACAGCCTGATAAATTTCTTCTGCACTCAGTCCAGCCCATCTGCAGAAGTAACAGTCAGCATGATGTCAAACAAATACATAAGGTAAAAAATCCAGTGAGGAGTAGTCTTTCACGTACGGAGTGGACCCCGTGCACATCTCCACTAGTGTACAACCAAAACTCCAAGCATCTGATTCTGGGGATATACCACTTGAATCCTCCCAGAAGAGCTTTTTCACTGGGCCCCAAGCCTCTGGAGCAGTGTAGTGTGGACTGAGCATGATATAGTCGATATATGGATTGATTTTTGAGGAATCACACTCTGATCGAACCTTCTGGCAAGTTGGCTTCTTTAGGATGGGAGCAAGCCCATAATCGGAAACTACAGCATTACCACTTGCATCCAGCAGAAGATTAGAAGGTTTTATATTCATACAAATAACACCAGCTGCATGGAGTTCAACAACCCCTCGAGCTACATCAGCTCCATATCTACATTTGGAAAAAGCCTAATATCACAACGATGTCATAGAAAATACAGTTACCATAAAAAATCATAAGCACAAGATGAAAGGAGAAAAGTAACTGAAGCTACCATCCGCACATGAGTACGTTTATATGATAGCCCTAATTTCAGTATTCAATTTAAAAAAGCAGAACAGGAAAAAAGGCAAGCAAGTTCATCGTAGGTTCACTTTAAAATAGAGGTTTTAATGTCATTTGCACCGGTTAAACAAAATCATGTGCATTGTCAAATGATATCTCCTTTTTCCAGTCAAGATTTCCTAGAAGACATTACCAACCCCTCCTAATCTTTCAGTGTTCAGATGAAAAAAGAAAAGAGAGTAATGTCATTTGCATTAACTAAACATAATCATCTGCATTGTCAAAATGACGATTCCTTTTTTAAGCCAAGATTTTCTGAAACAAGTAGTCAATTGCATGATATGATATGGGCATGCACATAAAAACTACAACTGCTTATATTCTTACGAAGGAAAAGAAGGTAGAAGTCTGCAACAAACTGTAATGCATCATAGCTTACATTTACAATTAGATTATAATCATTATATCCACACAAGCGAGATGTACAGGTAAACAGTAGCAGCAGTAGCAACTAGACAGTAGGTGAATAGTTATGTAAACACAAATCAATTTGTTGAGCTCAGACAGTCGTACAATCTAGCATAAAATACTATCATGGAGAAGGCTTTCCACAACACGACTTAAAGTAGCCTCAAAGGTATAAGAGCTTCTTTGAGCTGTTTCCTCTTCTGAAAAAAGCACTACAACGCCAAAACAAATAAAATCTACAAACAGCATGAGAGCAACAAAACTAAAAGTACTCTGGCAGTTTAAGTCCTTCAACGAGTGAAACCAAAATTTGAATTTTTTTTTTAAAAAAAAACTATGATTTCAATCCTCATTCAACCCTCGTGCATTCCACTTCCTATGCATTGCTAGTCAAAGGTAACAAGGAGAATATCTAATCACAACCAAGTCAGAAACCACATGGCTTAACTGCATACTCCTGGGGGGGGGGGGTCACAGAAACTGTGGATACGACAAAAAGGGGAAACATTAGAACGAGCTAATAAAGGAGAAGGGATGAAACCTTAGGATCTGCTCCAAAGTAAGCCTGCCCTCATTACGCTGCATCTCAGATTTAACAGACCCGTAGCATCTGTCAATCAATAGACACATAGATCCCCCCATTTTAACAGCTCCATGGAATGTACAAACATTCCGACACCACATCGATGCCTTGCGCAAGCTCTCGAGCTGCCCCTGCATCCAATCAACATCCATCTCGTCCGTCAACAACACCTTTTTCACCGCCACACGATGCTTACACCGCCCGCCTTCGACAGTGGCATCCCACATCTCCACCCCGTCCCGTCTACTCTCCCCTATTCGCTTCACCAGCTTCACCTCCGGGTGAGCTCCGATTTCAATCACCGGACCACACGAGTTATGCGAGCTTGAGGCATGGAATCCGCGAGCGGAGCGAACCGCTGCCGCGGCTTCACCTTCTTCACCGCTTCCATCTTCGCCGTCGTCATCATCCTCGTCGTCCGTGTAATCACAGTCGAAATTTCTGGCGGCGACGGAATTGTTAGCAGCGGAGGCGGCGGCGTGGATAAGTGCGAGCATGGCGTAGTTCTTCCGCAGGCCCTGAACGGAGTTCCCAACCACCGACACGTGGCGGCACCGGGGACAAGTCAGCGTGGTATCCGGCGACGCCGAGAACATTTTCGACAAGCACTCCTTGCAGAAGCCATGCCCGCATTGAAGCAACAGCGGAACTCTCTCCTCCTCATTGTAGCGCGTGTGACAAACAGAACAGCAAGGCACTTTCATTCTACCAACCATGGAAGCACAAAAGTAAGCCCTAGATTTCCCCAGAGAATTCACCGGAATCAGAGAAAACCGAGATCGGAGTGGACGAAGCAAGAGCCAATCACTTCAAACAACAGTGGAACTCCTCCGAAACATATCGAAAAACTCCCCGAATCGATCCAGATCAGGACGAGACCGGCAGATCCATGGATAAAACAAGCAGAATCGATGAGGGGAACGGGAGGAAGATCAGAATTCGTCGGAAATCACACGCATTAGAAAATCGCAAGAAAATGTGAAAAAGTTTCTTCGTCAGGGTTTAATAGGAAGATTTTCTAATTTATTTTTATTTTATGTTAGGTTGATTGAGTTGGGCTCTTGTTCGTCGGCTTTTTACGGGTTGGTGGTGGGTAAGATGATGGAGCCCAAACCATTTTCTTTCTTTTTGGAAAACCGAAAAACCATATCTAAATAAAAATCTAAATACACGGGTCACGGACTCACCAATTCGGTTCCGTATTCATAATATTTTGGTTCGGTTTACTTATTATAGTGAAATTATCATTCGGATTCGGATTCATTGTAAACCGAATAAAATTTGTTCCCGGTTCGGTCATGTAATTAGAGTTGGCTATTTCAGTCTGATAAATGAACTGAATTATAATAAACCTTTTTTTGGTGAATAAAAAAAGAACATAACCTACTAAATTCTAAATATACAAATTAGGGTTGACCAACAGCTTGGACAATCATATCGAATTATAATATTAAAATTAAAATAATCATTTGAATTGGTCGGATTGTTAACTGCAAAATTTATCAACAAATCGATTTTTTTTTATATTCTGAAAGTTCAATGTATATTTGGCCTAACTATATTTTTAAGAGGATTAAATAAATCAGGTGAATATCTCTTGAAAATTCAAATTTGAATTTAAAAGAAACTTTGTCTAATTTTTTACCAATTGATTCACCCAATTTTGGTTAATTATTTTATCAATCAAATTATTTTGCTTTGTTTTTAACTTACATATATAAACATATAAATATATACTGATCCTATCAAAATATAAGATCGCGAATTCTTTATCTGACAAAAATTCTAAATATAGTTGGCCAATATTTCATTTAACAATCTAAATTCTACTAAAATTACTTAGAGAATAATGGGACACTTGTTTCAAGGACAACGCTGTAACATGTGGCGGATCACCGACAACCAAACGCGACACTGCATACATCTGGCCGGATCTACATGCGTAATATTAGGGTTATGGATTACCGGTTCCAAGTTCGTTTCAATTTTTAAAATTATTTATATAATTTTAATTAAAATTGAGATTATTTTATATGCATCTCTTAATAAAACCAAATAAATATGATCCATTTTTCATTGCATTATTAATAGTTCATATAATAAATTTTTCTTAAGCTTGGAGGAAATCCCGTCATCATCTAATTTTTCTTTGGAAAATTTTTCGATTTTAGAAAAACAATATCCAACCGTGCGGTTTGCTTTGCATCGGTTTTTGTTCAAGCTCTGTTTATATTGATAAAAGAAATATTCGTTTTCTCCAAAAAAAATATTTGTTTATTCGACTTTTTCCATTATTTTCACATTCAATTCAACTGATTCTTTCGGTTTTTATATTTTGGATACGGTTATATATTTTTTTACTCAATTTTTATTGATAAAAATATTTATTTTTAAAGATATTTTCGATTTATTCGGTTTATCCATTTGTTTTTATTATATCTACAATTACATATTATTCGATTCGATATTGTTAGAGATATATAAAACTGAGTAAATTTCTGAATTATAAAAAAAATGATAGATATTTACTCATTAATAGAGGGGTATTATTCTTATATATATATATATATTATAATAATGTACAACCGCACAAAACACAAAAGAAGACATCTCTCTACCATCAACAGGTGGATAACCAATTCCTAAAATCTATAACCGGTTACGCGAACCGGTAAGCTTCGAGCTCCGGTTTAGTCTAAACCAATTACGGTGTGTTCATACCATAACCTGAAGTGTACTCATTAAACGACACGGAAGACAACAGCGCCTCCACAAAACTATCTTCCATCTGAAGAATATTCTGGTGATCGGAGCAACTCGGCGACTCGCCGGCCGAACCCTTCATCTCCATCGCCGGGAAATAGTCTCGTTCGAATTCTCCCCGGTGATCGGAAACCGAATTGGTCGGAGAGAAATCGTGAAGATGGTCGCCGAAGTGGGAATCGGCGATGTCGGAATCTTTTCCGGTGAGCTCTTGGACCAGAGCTCGAAACTCCGACGCGCTCGTCTTCACCTTGATAGGGCTTGAGATGTAGACAACTTTGATGTCTTCTTTCTTGCTCTTTCTTCTCTTTCCCATCATGTTCTTCTTGTTTCTTGGCCTGTCCATAACAGAAGACACAGAAATTTAATTCGATGAAAAAAAAGGGGCAATCTCGTGAGTTTAAATTTTTGAGTGGTGGAGAATATCTTCAGAATTCGGGAGTTGAGGACTTAGGGTTTATATAATGGTTTTTCCCGAGGACATGAAATTTCTCGGAAACGACCTTAGTTTCCCGGAAAGTGATGTAATGGAAGAGGAGGAAATAGCGAATAATAATAATAAATTTTAATTAAAATAAATATTTTGAATCTAAGTGAAAAGGAATAACCAAATCACTTAACACCCGTGTTGCTTAAAAGCTAAATTCTAATTTGAGCTTTTTTTCCCTTTTCTCAATTTAATATGTGAAATATATATTCTTTTTGAAGTACTTTTGGGACGAGGATAAGGATCTAGGTGAAATAAAAAAATAATATGTTAATTCTAGAAGCAATATTTCAAAATTCTTTTTTTTGCGATAGTCCTTTTTATTTTATTTTATTTTATTTATAAGAATATATCCATTATTTTTATATAAGATTTCATTTTGATACATATTTTAAAATACATTTGAGTCGAAATTATTTTCTAACAAATAAATTTATATTTAATTAAAAAAATTTTAATCTGTGGCTTATGTGTTATTTGCTGTCCATTTTTTATTTTTGTACATGTGCAGCTAAATGATCATTAATCTACTAGAGAAACATGAAATATTTCATGTATACTGAATACCGTATGCTGTCATTTTTGTGTAAGCGATTCAAGTTTCGAGACTCCATAAAGTTATAAACTAATATAAAATGATATGACCTTTTGTTAATTAATTATTTAGTTTTCAATCAAGATGAGATGACTTTGACGGCAGTGAAATTATAATTATATATTGGGAAAAAACCCTAAAAATTCCTGAACTTGTATTTTGGAGTAATATTAATTCCTAAACTTGTAGAGGTGTCTATTAATTCCCAAACTTGAAAAATTGAACACGTTAAATCCTAAACTTGTTAAACGGTTCCATATTCGTCCATAGCGTTATTTGGTCAAAAAAGCGAGTTGACCGATCCGACGTGGCGTGCCACGTCACACGCCACGTCGGATCGGTCAACTCGCTTTTTTGACCAAATAACGCTATGGACGAATATGGAACCGTTTAACAAGTTTAGGATTTAACGTGTTCAATTTTTCAAGTTTGGGAATTAATAGGCACCTCTACAAGTTTAGGAATTAATATTACTCCAAAATATAAGTTCAAATTTTTTTAGGGTTTTTGTGAATAAAATATAAGTATCTTTTAATTTCTAAATTGTTTATGAAAAAATTATATTAAAAAGAATATAATTTCCGTCAGAAAATTTTGGAAAAAATGAAAGGGGTAAATAACGTGGACCCACAAAACTTATATGCTTAATTAAGACATGTATTTTTTAAAAATATTCTCCAAGTAGAAACTAATAACATTGCCAAAAAAAAAAAGTCTCAACATTCAAATGAATATTTTTTCAACTTTTATTTATTTTCTCTCAGTTTGTGAATGAAAATAAAATTATGAACTGTTCTTTTGAATAAATATTCATTTATCGTAGAAATTATATGAAATTTAATATGATTTTCAATCTCGTTAGGAAGAGTAGAAAG